AGTGGGCAAATATTGCAAAGTCTAGATGTGCAAAGTTAGTAGAGACAGAGACAGGTCCCAACAGACTAAAGGCTGTAATTAAAGCTAAATATTTTTTTTCCGACATGTTGGTGTTATATCTTTGACTTGGATGTTCTAAGTTGCACTGAGTAAATACAGCTGGATAAAATAAAAGCTGTGTCCATCTTAATTTCAGGCTGCAAAGCAACAACATGTGTTTATTTTAAAGGGGAGTGATTATTTTCTATACCCACTGTAACAGGAATGACCCTTTTGTTGTCATCAACGCTGGGAGACTGATCAAAAAGATACAAGAAACCTGCTGTGTCACCACTGGCGAGGCCTCATTTTGTTTTTGTTGTTTTCTTGCCGTATTTCTTTTCCCTTTATCTAAGTGAGGGGGAACCTGATCACACTGCTGATCAGAGTGTAATCCGAGTGTACAAGCACACCTGAGATGGCCAGAGAGTTCCTGCTTTCCAAAACAGAACACCCCTTTTTTCAGGCCCTTGTGTCCCGCCCATAGCAGAAATCCATGCTCTCCACTGCCACGTGTTGTGTTCATTGGGTAGTCTGAACAGGTGGCTTGACTTGTCCCTTATCAAACCATTTTCCCACTAACACAGTATTTACATCTTATGGCCATCTGGGGTTCCCAGGACTTATAAAGGGACTGTATTCATTTCAGAAAGAATCTCTGAGTAGGCGGTGTAAAACAGAACCAGGTGCTCAATAATCAAGCTGCTTCTCAGTGCTGGAAAAGACAAAACAATTCAGAAACGACAGCCATCATAGGATACAGTATGCTTCATTTACTGTATATAAAGCTTTGAATGTTTTGGTGCACAATAAGTTAAATGTAAAATGGTAGAATAGTGTACAGCTGTGGCTGTCAAACACAATGCTAATTGTAACTAATCATATAAGTTAAAACAGACTTTAAAAAGAAGAACATACTGCTTCATTTACATACAACTGCATGTATTTTGGTGAAAATATCTGCCTAATTTTGTTATGTTCCACAAAACGACAGATTAACTACTATGGACGCAACTGGAAAGAAAATGCAAACATGACTACTACTGCAGTTCAGCTGATATTAATATATTTAAGATATTTTAAAGACCTTTTGTTTTAAAGCAGTTTTGTTGGGTTTGCAAAGCCACTGCCATAGACGACTGCCAGGCTTGGCCACAGTGGTGTTTGTGTGGTCATGACAGCAGTCAGCCCTCCTCAGAATCACATGCAAGCAGCTCCTGTAACTGCTGCACTTGACACAGCAGACCTAAAGCTGCTGGGCCCTGGAGGTGAAAAAAGAGGGTTCTATATTTCTCCATTTCCCCTTTGTCATCCTCCGGCACAGCGAGAGGTTGCCTCCTGAAGAGAGACACTCGATCGCTAAACACTAAGGACGTTACAGCTGCTCAGCCGTGTCAAAGATAAAGCTGCTTCAACAGTTATTAAATGTGTCTCATCAGTCTTTTTCACTCAAAGTTCATGTGACGCTAAGGGAGAAAAAATTGGAGCCAACTATTTAACAACTTCTGACAGGACTTATTATTTTATGCAAAGTCGCTGAGTTAACCACTGTGTTAGAAGTGTGTCAAAGCAGTAATCTTGTCTTGGCATGCGAGGTGCTGTATGTGCAAAATTATTATTTTTCCAAAAAGTCTTGACATTAAATTGAAAGTGCTCATCTATGGTTTCGAATGGGAGCCAGAAAAAGTGTCGTTCTTACATGTAAATGCACTACACAGAATGAACCTACAAGTAGAAAAATAGACAACCATTTTCTTATTGACAAATTAATTTGATATTGCATTCTTCACATTACAGTTTTGATGTGTTAAAGAAGAAAAAACACAACAGATCCAATTTCCAGAGAGATATATTTGGAGGATGGGCATATGCTAACAAATTTAGGATTTGTGTGCTTACAAATAGTTATCAAAACAGTGAAAGTCAGTTAAATTATATAAATAAAGGCAAATAATGTAACACTGGTCTGATCTCAAAGCAAAGTCTGTACACATTACCAATTCGATTATGCCAAAGTCCTGGCTCATGAATATTTAAGTAGTTTGTGACTGCAGGAAGGTTACACAACAACATATAATCACAACCTAATAAATATTCATGAGATAAGCAATCGCTGTGTCATGACATCAGAAACAGTCCATGCATCTCTCCCCACTGGCTTCATAACATTTAAAGGAAAATAAGGCCATTTTATTTACTGTGATATGGGCTGGTGTTCATTATAAAATGTTTCCTCGAACCCTCAGGGATGAGAAGTACTTTCCATTTCATTGTGCTTGTTTAATGTCGTGCTTTATATTTATGTGTACAGTGTTCCTATTAACAAAATAAGCAATCATGATGATAGCAGGAGATTTACGAATGAGCCTACTTTAGCCAATATGTGATGATGACAAACCTCTGAGTCATCTTCAAGATGGAGCTAATTTCATCTTCAGTCATCGTCGCTTCACCCTCCTCACCTCATATTTGCTCTAGCCAGTGAATATGTAAAGGTCAAGTGTCTGTCATGTATTCCCATCTCTTTTAGTGCCCAGACTCAGCCTGTAAGCAGGACTTATTGGCGTACCTCCAGAGAATCGCCCTCTACTGCCACCAGCTCAACATCTGCAGCAAGGTCAAGGCTGAGGTTCAGAACCTGGGAGGAGAACTCATTGTTTCAGGGGTAAGGTGATTTTGGGCATACAGATTTTGATTCAATGACCATGTTTGTTTGTTTGTTTTATGTGCTTTCAAATTTTGATTTCAAACTGACTGAAACAATAATATTGTCTTTTTAAAATGTCATGTAAATGCGGTCACACTACACTTATGTTCCATTGATTTCTATTCATACATATGTAAATATGGGAAAACGGCAACACAAGCTCCAAAGTACTGATCTGTGAATTAGTTTCATGTTAAGACTTGTGACCAATAGAAGATCAATACACATAAGTTGTATATATTTACATTTTGTATGTATTATTATTTCTTTTTGTGTCATATCACGACCATTGCGGTGTCCAAAGAAATTTTCACTGCTTTAGTTTGACTGAAATCGCACTAGTCGGTCTAACAGACCTAGATAATGGGCTTCGTCCAGCATGAGCACTACCGGTCAAAAGTTAAGAATAATTTAGATTTTTGTGGGAAATGTTATACGATTAAATGAATCAAAGTGACAGTAAAGTCATTTATAATGTTACAGATGATTTATATTTAAAATAAATGCTGTTCTTTTTAACTTTCTATTGATCAAAAACTGCAGCAAATCAGCATATTAGAACAATTTCTGAACATAATGTGACACTTATTTTAAATTGTAAATTATAATAATATTCACTGTATTACTGTTTTGTTTTTTGTTGTTGTATATACAGTATATATATATATATATATATATATATATATATACAGTGGGGCAAAAAAATATATAGAATACCTATGATGAAAATTACAGGCCTCTCTCATCTTTTTAAGTGGGAGAACTTGCACAATTGGTGGCTGACTAAATACTTTTTTTCCCCACTGTATATAGCAGTCTTGATGAACAATAAGAGACTTCATTAAAAAATCATAATTATTCAAAACTTTTCAGCAGTAGTATACAGTTGTCCTAACTGTATATCAGACAACAGTTGTCCTAAGCCAAACATCTGAGGTGTGCCACACATACTTCATTCTTCAAATATTCAATTAGGGTCATCTATACTTGGACAGTGTTAAACACTAGCTCAGTTACTCAAAAAACCTGCCATAGCTCATTTATAACTGTGCAATTGTTGCATACTGTTTCACACTTTATGTATTTATTTAATTTTAATACTGTGCATTAAGACCAAAACAGTGCATCATTTCATTCCATACATTAGCCATAGTTATCATCAACAGACACTTACTTGAATGTTCTCCTCCCCATTGCTTTAGCTGGACAGCGCTACATCCCTCATCCAGGCAGCCAAGAACTTAATGAATGCCGTGGTCCTCACAGTCAAGGCTTCCTATGTGGCTTCCACCAAGTACCAGAAGGTGTACGGCACGGCGGCGATCAATTCCCCGGTGGTGTCCTTGCGCATGAAGGCCCCGGAGAAGAAACCCCTGGTGAAGAGAGAGAAACCAGAGGAGTGCCAGACCCGTGTCAGGCGAGGCTCGCAGAAGAAACACATATCCCCCGTCCAAGCCCTCAGCGAATTCAAGGCCATGGACTCCTTTTAACTTCGCACCACAGATGCCCAAAACTCCTCCTCCTTCTCTCTTGATTTCTTCTCCTCTCTTTGTTACGGCTTATTTTCTTGGAACTGTATCTTGTTCCATGCAGCGACGTGTTTGTATGTGCCCAGTAAATGTCTGTGAGTTGGAGGGTTTGGCCACCCATCCTCTTTGAACCAAATTTCACTGTAAATTTGAGAAACAAACAAACTCGTGACGGAAACGTTTACAGTGCAGGCTGCGGTACAATTCATGTGGTGTTCATTCTCGCTGACATATATACACAGATATATTAAAGAATATAATTTATGGTACAGTAGTGTCAGCCCTAACCGAGGCAGAGGTGCTGCTTTCCTTCCTAATGATTTTTTATTATTATTATTTAAAATGAATATGACTCATAGTAATAGGAATAACTTATGTTGAAACAAGATTTTTCCTTCCCAGTTATCCATATGGTAACCTGATGCACTAGTTTTTGCATTTAAAAACAATTTCTTTAATTATATTACTGTATGACTAACCACGGCAGTCAGGTTGGCTATAGTATTACATTTAGAAAAGGACTAGTTGTGTGGTTTGCTCAGAGACTAGTAGAATCTTGCATACTTTATAGTCCTGATTCTCTAATAAACCTTGCAACTCTGTGTGTCGATTCGAGTTATTTTCCTAACTGTTCCATTCAGCTTCATGATGGACAACAAGCGACCGTTGCACCAGCACCTGATGCACTATATTTGATGGCACAAACCCATTTTCTAATGAATGAATGGTACTTACTGTGTGTTTGACAAGCAAGATCTTCTATCAAGCTCATATCCGTCACCAAACAAGTTTTGTGTTTGCCACACGCCATGTTCTGAAATTGCTTCTCTGTGTCCGTAAACATTTTTGGTAAACGAGGTAATCACAAATAAAAGTTTGTTTAATTATTCAGTCTGAGTGAATACAAAAAATGTAAAGTCAGTGTGACGTGAGGGGCGGGGCCGAGAACCGTGGGAACGGAGCGAGGCCCGTGGAGTAATTGCTAATGCGCGACACCTGTGCCACTCACCGGTCTCGAGTCACACGGAGGAGCTCCGGAAGGATAAAAGAAGGAGTGACAACAGTGTTGGAGGAGAGAGGACCAGGCCTAGCAATTACTCCACCGGCCTCGCTCCATTCCCGCGGCTCTCGGCCCCGCCCCTCTCGTCACAGTCAGCATGAAATGAAAATTAATCCTATCTATTTTCTAAATGCATGTTATAGATTTTATTGTGAACAATTCACGTGTGCATACTTTTTTTTTTTTTTAAATACCTCGTAATATTGGTTTTATTTGGTGACATATACGGGACTTCTCTAATCATTTAGTCTGCTTAAATCTGCCCCTGCAAACGTGCATTAAGGTATTTGTACACAACAACAATGTACTACAAAAATAGAGAAGTTTTGTGTATAGACGACATCGTTGTCAAAACGATCCCCATTCACACCGATCCGTAAAAACTACTAAAAACACTGCATTATGCATGCTAGGCCAGTAGTTGTAAAGAAACTTGTGCATACCTTTAGACTGAACACATAATACACCTGCGCATGACATCACCGTGTTCACAAATTGTTGTTTTTCTATTTTAGACGGAGATGATATCGGTATTGTTTCCAAAAACATGTCCAGTCATAAGGGTCAATTTTTTGAAATTGAGATTTAGCTGAATAAATAAGCTTTCCATTGATGTATGGTTTGTTAGGATAGGACAATATTTGGCCGTTGGCCGACTATTTGAAAATCTGGATTCTGAGGGTGCAAAAAAATCAAAATACTGAGAAAATTGCCTTTAAAATTGTCCAAATGAAGTTCTTAGCAATGCATATTACTAATCAAAAATTAAGTTTAGATATATTTACAGTAGGAAATTTACAAAATATCTTCATGGAACATGATCTTTACTTAATATTCTAATGATTTTTGGCATAAAAGAAAAATCAATAATTTTGACCCATACAATGTTTTTTTTTTTTTTTCTTTTGGCTATTGCTAAAAATATATCCAAGCGACTTAAGACTGGTTTTGGGGTATATTTTTAGCAATAGCCAAAAAAAAACATTGTATGGGTCAAAATTATCGATTTTTCTTTTAAATCATTAGTATATTAAGTAAAGATCATGTTCCATGAAGATATTTTGTAAATTTCCTACAGTAAATGTATCAAAACTTAATTTTTTATTAGTAATATACATTGCTAAGAACTTAATTTGGACAACTTTAAAGGCAATTTTCTCAGTTTAGATTTTATTTTGCACCATCAGATTCCAGATTTTCAAATAGTTGTATCTCGGCCAAATATTGTCCTATCCTAAAAAATGCATCAATGGAAAGCTTATTTATTCAGCTTTCAGATGATGTATAAATCTCAATTTCGAAAAATTGACCCTTATGACTGGTTTTGTGGTCCAGGGTCACAATTATATTAAGAATGACAATTTGGAGTGAGTGTCTCAAAAGGTCCACATTGTTGTTCCGTTTATGTAATTATCTTAGGGCTACAATTTGCTGACCACGATGAGAGAAACAAGCCTTCAGCTCACAGTCCGAGCCTTGTTAACAGGATTTTTTTTTTTTTTTTAATGACAAGAAGGTAAGTACGCCAGTGCAACACTGCGACCCCCTCCTGACTTCATGTGTGCTGAAGAGTTTCCAACCATTTCTCTGGGATTAATACAGTGATCTGCGCCTAGTGAAACTCATTGCCAAAGTATTAGCTGCAAGACTGCTGTGCCAATATCTGCCATTTACCTTAATTAAAATATCCTTTAGCCATGATTTATGTCACAACATGCAGCATAAAAACTTTGAGACGTTCTTTGTTTGATAGTTTAGTTGGATTTCAGAACAACCATGCAACAGAAACAATATCCACTGCATAAATGTAGAAGGTAAAGGGTACAGCACCACAAGAAAAATAACTCCTATCAAGTCACACTTCATTCCAATTCTCACTATTACTGTAACTAACTATTAACTATGAATTTTGCCTCAATGTACTCCTAATTTGTAGCTATTAAGTTTAGGTATGGGGAAAGTAATGCTTTATCTCTCTAACCTAAACTTTATAAGCCCCTTAATAAACTTTGTTATTACAAATTATTTTCCTTAATATAAATACATGTAAAAATAAAAAAAAGCTATAAAATATTTGTGATTTGTAAAATAAACTATTGCTTATTTTAAAATACTAAAATGTAGACAGATAGCCTGAGCCTTAATTTTTTTCAATGGCAGTCATAGATGAAGTGTGCTTTGGTCACTTGGTCGGACTGGTTAAAATGTTCAAATGTGTAAAATTTGAACTTGTTTACACTTTTTGTTGACATTTTAAAAATGTCTCAACTGTTTTACATGTCGACATGGGGTTGAGAAATAATTTAACATCAAAAAGGGAAGACCTCACCTTTAACTTTGAAGGCTGCGGTGCTTTTGTAGCAGATATTATTCAGGCTCTAGTTTACCTCAACACTGGATATAAACAAAAGCAGTATGGAGATTGTTTCAATCAGATTCACACATGCTAAATGGCAGTACTTGAATGAGCTTCAGGCCATTATAATTCTCTTTAAAGCACTGCCATCTTATGCAAAAGGAATTTTTGAATATGCCGTTGCATATTTAATGGCCAACTTGTTTCACAGATGTTTCTCCAGACATTCGTACCTCATAAGAGGGATTCAATTACTATTTCATCAAACTACTCACGTCTTTTGTTTTTATAATACAATATGCAGCTCATAGCAAAGCTTTGATGTTCAAATTAACTTGCACTGTACCTACTAGTATAAGAAGAGCCCAGCAGACATGTAGACATGTCTTAAGACACACATTTTTAAGGGAAACATAACACTGGGGACTGCATTAATATATCGGTTCAGCGTGATGTAGTGGTGTCTGACTAGGGGCGAGACGTGGGCTGATGACGTCATCGTTTCAGAAAGTATACGGATTCGCTGTCCACACGAAAACGCAAGGGTGGCGTTTTCAGATTTATCCACTCTGGGACCGGGTTTAAAAAAATATCGGTTTCACTCTCACAAAGTGCCGGATCCGTGTGGACGAAACACCTATACGATAAAAAAATGTATGCGTATACAGCTAAACGCGTCTCCATGTGGACGGGGCCTTAGATCGTTAAAATAGGGCCCTAAATAAATAACTGTACTTTCACTTTGCGCTTTTATTTGTAACTTCGTGGGAACGGAGCGAGGCCGGTGGAGTTAATGATAATGAGCGATACCTGCGCCACTCACCAGTCTCGAGTCACACGGAGGAGCTCCGGAAGGATAAAAGAAGGAGTGACAACAGTGTTGGAGGAGAGAGGACCAGGCCTAGCAATTACTCCACCGGCCTCGCTCCATTCCCGCGGCTCTCGGCCCCGCCCCTCTCGTCACAGTCAGCATGAAATGAAAATTAATCCTATCTATTTTCTAAATGCATGTTATAGATTTTATTGTGAACAATTCACGTGTGCATACTTTTTTTTTTTTTTAAATACCTCGTAATATTGGTTTTATTTGGTGACATATACGGGACTTCTCTAATCATTTAGTCTGCTTAAATCTGCCCCTGCAAACGTGCATTAAGGTATTTGTACACAACAACAATGTACTACAAAAATAGAGAAGTTTTGTGTATAGACGACATCGTTGTCAAAACGATCCCCATTCACACCGATCCGTAAAAACTACTAAAAACACTGCATTATGCATGCTAGGCCAGTAGTTGTAAAGAAACTTGTGCATACCTTTAGACTGAACACATAATACACCTGCGCATGACATCACCGTGTTCACAAATTGTTGTTTTTCTATTTTAGACGGAGATGATATCGGTATTGTTTCCAAAAACATGTCCAGTCATAAGGGTCAATTTTTTGAAATTGAGATTTAGCTGAATAAATAAGCTTTCCATTGATGTATGGTTTGTTAGGATAGGACAATATTTGGCCGAGATACAACTATTTGAAAATCTGGATTCTGAGGGTGCAAAAAAATCAAAATACTGAGAAAATTGCCTTTAAAATTGTCCAAATGAAGTTCTTAGCAATGCATATTACTAATCAAAAATTAAGTTTAGATATATTTACAGTAGGAAATTTACAAAATATCTTCATGGAACATGATCTTTACTTAATATACTAATGATTTAAAAGAAAAATCGATAATTTTGACCCATACAATGTTTTTTTTTTTTTTTTTTTTGGCTATTGCTAAAAATATATCCAAGCGACTTAAGACTGGTTTTGGGGTATATTTTTAGCAATAGCCAAAAAAAAACATTGTATGGGTCAAAATTATCGATTTTTCTTTTAAATCATTAGTATATTAAGTAAAGATCATGTTCCATGAAGATATTTTGTAAATTTCCTACAGTAAATGTATCAAAACTTAATTTTTTATTAGTAATATACATTGCTAAGAACTTAATTTGGACAACTTTAAAGGCAATTTTCTCAGTTTAGATTTTATTTTGCACCATCAGATTCCAGATTTTCAAATAGTTGTATCTCGGCCAAATATTGTCCTATCCTAAAAAATGCATCAATGGAAAGCTTATTTATTCAGCTTTCAGATGATGTATAAATCTCAATTTCGAAAAATTGA